CGTTCCAAGCTGAGACTTTTGTTAGGCCCAACTCCATTGCTAACTGTCGGTAAGACAAGTGAAAATTACTAACAAATCGTAGTTACCGTTTACTTTCACGATCAAATCGTTATTGTTTTTGACTATCAGATATATAATCATTTCTCTAAAAGTAGGTGACTTGTCTGGATAGATAGATTTTTATTCGTCTGTATGTCTGTCCGTCTGTCTTTCTAAGTGGCCAGTTTTTTTGACAAGCTCCTGAATAACGCTTTGTCAGGTAACGGATGACTTATCAACTTCTATTTCCAATAGTATGTCCGTCTATCTGTCTGTTCGTCTGTCTGTCTGTTCGTCTGTCTGTGCGTCCTTATGTTTGTCCAGTTGGTCCATCGGTCGGCCCTTCCGTACGTCTGTCCGTCTGTCTGTCAAACTGTAACTGTAGGTCAGTCTGCTTATAGGACTGCTGAATACTTCTTTAACTGTGGATCACTGACTAAACGTTCAGAATGGATGGCAGATTTTTCTTACCAAAATAATAGGTGTATGAATAGTAAATATAATAATGTTAATAGCTTCACGGCTTCCTCAGTCCTCTCTTAAAGTACATAAACGACATCGCATGCCACGAAAGGAAGAGACAAATAATCATTTTGTTCTCTCTCACAATCGTGTTTTGTTTTAAGGGAGATGTAAAGATATAACTACTTCCTCAAGCCAGGTAAAATCTGAAGCTGGTTGAATACACCATTCTCTATCACTTTGATCGTTATTGAGAATCGAGAGCTCTTTTCACCTTAAAATTGACGCGCGGGAAATTGGTAATTATTTTCTCCAATAGTAGCAATTCTGACATTCAACTTCATTCTCGAGGGTACATGCAAATCCCTGCCAAATTAATTGCTGATATCTGCAAAATTTTCACGCCAATCCTCTCGCTTTTGACATACAGATGGGCTAGTATCTGGTCCAACCATGCCATACGCTAGATTAAAAAAAAAAAAAAAAAACCTTGTCATTCGGTATTTCGTATTTTTTAATTCAACCCAGTCATACCATTTCTCCAGTCTTCCTGAAAGTGATTTGCTGACTAAAACGATGACAAGAAGAGACCATAGATAAGAAAAACTTTACGTCATAAAAACGGAAGTCCTTCATTGTTCTTTATCCCGAAACAAATACCGTTCCGTTAGGGCTGAGACGCAGGCGTTATGCGCCGATCGACTCGAAGCTTCAACATCCCCCCCTCCCAACCCAGGCACCTACGGGAAATTGACTGTCGTCTGTGCTTGGGAGTGGAGAGTTTGAACCTTGCCTGGGCGGGGTGGAGAATTTGAGCCGGAAATGTCAAGTCTTTCCAGTGGAATACAAGTTTATTTTCTTGAAATATGGAGGTGTTTAAGGTAAAGAGCTCATTTTTGCGAGCGATGGAATAGCTCACAAGAAAACGTCTAAAGGTCTAGGTTTTAAAGCTTGGTCAATGAGTAGAAAGTCACGGTCTACTGAGTTAGTCATATCAAAATAGTTGACCACCAAATCCGGCACTTGGGTAGGGCATTTGAACGCGAATTTGGCCCCAGGAGCGGAAATTTCAACATTGTAGCAATATTCAAGAGTTTAAACACCCGCAGACCAAAAAAAGAATAAATAAATTAATAAATAAATGCAAAGTAAATCACAAAAACTTTGAGCTTACCTTTAGATTCCTTTGAGCGCACACCACGAGTAAAATGATTATTAACGAAGTGACTAAAGTTGCTCTCTGCAAGAAATGGAAATAATTATGTAAATTTGTTGGCTTCATAAGATAATAAACAAATTTCCACAAGAGTTAACGATTGAAATAAACAATATGATAAACGTACCGCAACTAAAGCCAATCGTCTTTTGCTCAAGCCAAAGTATTTCTTTTCCTGAAAAGCAACAACTGAATCCACAGGCATGTCTTTTTCAAAGGTAGGTCCGGATGTCGTTAACTTAGAGGAATATCTTGATGCTCTTGAAACTTTATCACATGGGTCTCTCGCCTGATTAGCACAATATCTTTATTTGGATTTCGCTTAACGACCTCTTTAACGAACACAACCGTTTATCAAATCATCTGCCGCTTATGGAAAATGATTAGTTCAATCAACATGTTGATTTTCCTCATGAAAACGAATAACTGTTATTGATGGTGTATACTTTAACCATTTACCTAACACTATTACCTAGTTTCGTAGAAAAGGTTGTGGTTATTCATCGTGGTGAATAACAATAAAGGTAAGTTTTTCGTTTGTCTCACGATGTACTCACGTGTGATGTGATTAGTTGTTTTTCAACAGCTCTGATTGGTGTATTTCGATCCTTGCTGATCAGTGATTTGCTCCCTCGGTGGTCCGCTGTCGCACGGCTCTCCTGTTGTTGTGTTTTTTGATCGTGGGCATCTACGCTTCTGGAATTTCTATTCCACTATCCCTGTTGATGTTGTTAGGGTGAAGTCTTATGTGAATTGCCTCTTTGACCCTGCGCGTTTAGTAATAAGGGTCACGATCAATAAACTTTACTTCGTTCCAGAGTGGCTTGTGTATGGTGTTGTGGGCATGCTCTGAAACGGCGGAGGTCTCGGTACGGGCGAGTCGAATGTCTCGATCGTACTCCTTAATTCTATCTTGCATAGGTCTTCCAGTCTCTCCGATGAATACCTTGCCACATTCACGGGGAATCCTGTAAACTACGCCTAAACTGTAAACTACGGTGGTTTACTTGAAACTGTGATTGGGACTATAACAGTAACATATGGTAATATCAAAATCTGCCGGGGTTACTCTGGACAACGGACTGTACGTAGAGGATCTGCAGTGGTGAGATTATGTTAGATCTATTCTATTTCAAAGCGAGGGGATTTCTCGAGCAGATGCAGGAAACCTGTCTTTCTGATGTTAAAGAAGGGGTGGTTTATGAACAAGTGAATCTTAAGTTTTGAGTTTTCACAGGTCCCAGACACAAATTTAGCCATCCATCAACGGTTGTGAAAGTGTGCAAAATAAGTAACATACAGATAGGCGTTTTGGCTTAGCTTCTCCTCCACCCCTCCCCCCTCTCTTTACATAGGAAAGCCTGTTTACTATGGAAAATACGCCGCATGAACCTAAATAATACATTGTGACTATCAGAAATGAACTAGATCCGAGTAAAGGGGGTAAGCTTCCAAAGAAACTGTAATGCTGAGTCGGTGGGGGATATTACAAGGTAATTATATTGGTTTTAACAAACTGAGTTGATGAGGTGAATTGGCCTCCGTAATGCCGGAGTTTCTAAAGCTGACGACTCTAACGGTGTGTCTATTCCGTCGTTTTGAAATGATCCTTGGTGCATGTGCATTTATGCAGAATGTGAGCGTTTTAACACAACCGATAAGTTTGGAAGTGTTTAAAAGAGGTTCCCCCCCCCCACGACGAAAGAAAAGCAAGGAACTTAGAGGCCAAAGTTATATCTGTTTAGTGCAATGAAGATTATTCATATGCTCTTACGCCCACAAATTTACTTCAGTTGTCATAGGGACACAAAGTAAACGAGTCACTTTTCGATTTAAGCAAAAAAAAAAAAAACCTTTCAGTTTAATGTGTGCACTGATGTACGTGTCCAAAGGGTTCAAGTGTAGGCCACGAAATGAGGGTCTTAATGGGATTAACTGTCGCCGTAAAACGAAATAAAAATCTAGGCCTTGAAATCGACAAATTTGTACTGTTTGTCGTAAAGAAGCTAACCGTAAAATTTTTGATATCAACGATGCGTCACTGAAAGTGTCATAATCTTAAACTGGTATGTACCTTATCTTGTGGTCACTGTGGGAAAACAGAAAAACACTCTATATCAACTTAACAGCAACTAGATCTGGAATTACCCTTGTGGCTTGACTCTTATGGTAAAAGTGAGCGAGTAAATATGTTTCAGAACACAGTCCGAAGTTTTGGCTCGATGAATGGAAACACGATGAAACCGGAATTGAAATATATATATATAAAGGAGTGTAATTTATACCATTGATTCATTGTTATTGATTAATGTTATAAATTTTTCCGAAAGGCTATGCAGGGTACCATTATATTTATGGCTGTTACTAATACTAAGGAGTTTCAAAGTGTAGCAAACTTCAGTATCATGTGAGACCTTGCGAGAGCTGCCCCCTGGCTCAATAAACGCTATGTCTTATCCCGTTTGATTCATTGAAAATAGTTCTGTCAAGGTATTTCACAAATAGTTTCCCTTCATATTTCGTGATTTATGATCCTTAGTAATCAACTCCCTCTCTCATTATTCTTGTTCTCGTTTTTGTTCTTTCCTTGTCGCTTTTTTCCTTTCCAGGAGAAATATTTTCTACAATTTATTTCAAACACATGCAATAGGGTACGCTAAGTTGTTTAAATGATATTTCATGCTGCACAATAGACAATAGAGGAACACACGAGTTAGACAACGACATTTATATTGAACAATAAAAGGTAGAGGAGAATGAATGGGTTCCAGGCTTAAACAGATGATGTAATCCTCGCTCCGCTCTATTTCCTCTACAACAACTGCAAATCAAGTCATATTTTCCTTTGAGAAAATCAGCCTTTTTCCTGAGGAACGCTTGCAGGTCGAGCTTCGGACGGGATATTTTCTAATCATTGAAAATCCTCAGAGGAGCAACTCAATTAGGTTTTAAAAGACTATATAGATTACAGTCAAGATGTAATCGTCGAACGAATATAGGTTTATCCCCAAAAATGTTTAAAACTTTTTCCAAGACTATAAGCTTATATCGATTAAAAAGCAGTCAAGAAATTCTAACATACTATTGGATAAATAAGAACAAAACTTGAAAACGTCACAACTCCATTCCAAAAAGATATATATAACCCCAAAAATATTTAAAAAGGCTTTTAATTAAAAAAAAGTCATGAATACACGATACAACAATTTTCTAACATACTATTGATAAATAAGACTAAAGCTTGTTCTAAAACATCATTGGTTAGCGAATAAAAGTTTCCAAAACCAAGATTACAGTCAAGATTAAACCCTGAATACTTGTAAAGATATAACCCTAAAAATGTTTAAAGCTTTGATTGGCTACTGAAGCAAGGTTACATCGTAATTAAAAAAAGTCAAATACACGATACAACAATAAATTCTAACATACTATTGGATAAATAAGACTAAAGCTTGTGCTAAAAAACATCAATTGATTAGCTTCTTGAAAAAAAAATTTCCAACTCCATACCAAGATTACAGGCAAGATGTAACCCAGAATACTAGAAAAGATATAACCCCAAAAATGTTTAAAGCTTTGCACTACAGCCTTCGCTACTGAAGCGGAGCAGGTTACATCGTAATTAAAAAAAGTCATGAATACACGATACAACAATAAATTCCAAAAAACCATTGGATAAATAAGACTAAAGCTTGTCCTTAAACATCAGTTGATTAGCTCCTTGCTTACGAATTTCCAACTCCACACCAAGATTACGGTCACGATATAGCCCTGAATACTTGTAAAGATATAACCCCAAAAATGTTTAAAGCTTTCACTACAGCCTTGGCTACTGAAGCGGAGCAGATTACATCGTAGTTAAAATAGTCATGATTACACGATACAACAATAAATTCTAACATACTATTGGATAAATAAGAACAAAACTTGTTCTAAAACGTCAGTTAATACAAATTTCCAACTCCATACCAAGATTACAGTAAAGATGTAACCCTGAATCCTAGAAAAGATATAACCCCTAAAATGCTTTGCACTACAACCTTGGCTACTAAAGGCGGAGCAGATTACATCGTAATTAAAAAAAGTCATGAATACACGATACAACAATAAATTCTAACACACTATTGGATAAATAAGACTAAAGCTTGTTCTAAAACATCAGTTGGTTAGCTTCTTGAATAAAAGTTTCCAACTCCATACCAAGATTACAGTCAAGATTAAACCCTGAATACTAGTAAAGATATAACCCCAAAAATGTTTAAAGCTTTGCACCACAGCCTTGGCTACTGAAGCGGAGCAGATTACATCGTAATTAAAAAAAGTCATGATTACACGATAAAACAATAAATTCCAAAAAACCATTGGATAAATAAGGCTAAAGCTTATTCTAAAACATCAGTTGATTAGCTCCTTGCATTAGAGTTTCCAACTCCACATCAAGATTACGGTCAAGATATAGCCCTTATTACTAATAAAGATATAACCCCAAAAATTTTTTAAAGCTTTGCACTACAGCCTTGGCTACTGAAGCAGAGCAGATTACATCGTTATTAAAAAAGTCATGATTGATGCTCATCATTTACAGTGATGATAGAGCAGACATGTTTACTTATCGCCAAAGAACACTTCTTGGTATCCTTCGTGATCTTCCTCCTCATGTTTTTCAACTTTTTCCTCGTCTTCATATTCTTCTTCCATCTCATCGTCTTCCTCGCTCATATCGTCTTCATCATCTCCAGATTCTTCTCCTCCTCCTGAGTATTCGGGATTCTCTTCACCTGTTACCAGGGAAAAAATAGTTCCACAATTACACTTCCAAGATCTCATTAGTAGTTCTTCTTAATGTCTGTTTTACTATTCTAGTGACGTTAGTTAGACTCGTCAAGTCATAGTTATCGTATTACAATCAAATATTACAGCAATAAAACATTATCAGAATGTTTTAACTTCTGGTTACTCTATTTTAAAGTTTTCACTGAGTGGTTATAATACCGAAACAAAAATTACAATTCTTACGGCAGTTCTTAGACAAGTAGTATGCCATTCTTGTTGCCATTACCTCACAGCTTTAATTTTATAAGGAATTCAGTTTAAGGGTCGTCCTCTGAATAATCAGACTGGGTTTGTTTATTTTGCCAAATACAGCAAATCATAAACTTTTTTCAGGAAAATCTTGGCTTTATCGGTTTGGCGAATAGTTTTTAGACCTAGTGGCCTCTATCACTGTGTTTTTCGCACATGGACAGTCTGCCAAATTTTGGTGGCCGCACGCAAATGATAATATATTGAATTCAGAGATTCTTATATATAAGAATCACGACTGTATAATAGGTGAAAAACTGGCCTTTTGGAGATAACAATCCGCTCGGTCGGATTTTGGAGATGGCGATGCTTGATGACAGTCATGTTTGGAAGCGTCGCGTCTTTCTCTGTAGTTTCGCTCGCTCATTTGTATATTGATATGATTTAAAATGTCAAATTGCTTTTCTTCCACCTGCTTTACACCCTATCTGAGATCTGGGTCATATAAATAAAACCAGGGGACCACTCACCCCAGGCTCCGTCACGTGGAGTCAGTTCTGCACAAGGAAGCTCGAAGCGCAAGAGATATTAGCAGATATCTCTCACAAAGAAAGGAAAATCTGAATATCATAGAAAAAACCCTGGACTCTCACCTGACTTACAACCGTTTCTGGGATTAAATCCTCCTTGGCAGTGGCAAACCTTTTTATTAGTGCAGACCTAGAAACATTTTGTAATGATTAAAATTTGAGTGAGAAAATTCTTTATGACCAGTGAAATTTCTTGATTCAAGTTACAATTATACATTCGAATTCACATTGCACTGCTTTTCATTCAATCACATTGAGCTCACTTCTCAAAGAGACATCTGAATATCTTATGTCAATAACTTAACTAGGCAAGCTCTTATTAACAGAGCTTCCAAGTCAGAAACAGAAAAATTTCTGCGAATGATGCCCGAGTCAATAACAAATATCAGTTCGTTGAGAATCCACATGATTATTGTTTTTTTCTGATAGCTTTTCATTCCATGCAAATTACATACAGTTAACTGGGAACAAAAATTGAATTTCCCTTGCACGATGGTGTAAACCTTAACTGCGTAGAATTTCACAGCAAAACCTGGAAATATTAGCTCCTTTTTTTTATGCTTCTCACGAACTCAACATTAAGAATTACTTACCCCTCTTCCCGCACACTCTTTGTTTCCGACCACTGGACACTTGCCAACCAGATTGAGAGAACTTAGTGACTGGCACTTGTTATTGATACACATCTTAAACAGACATAGACAGGAGTAAACTTTAGGACCAAGGTAAACATAATAACCCGGAAAGAGGGTTCACAGTGTATTTATATAGACAGACAGCGTATTGTGGAGAGGTGGAATAGTGCGGAGGTTGGATGGACATGAGATAACAGACTCACATTTGTTCTTAGAAGGACACCGAAAGTACTCTTCACCAAGTATTAACCCAGAACTTATTTTTCTAAAATTATATTCTCCATGTTCATAGCAATTTTTTTAACATGGAACTCTTCTAACTAGAACTCTTGTGACCTAATGGTTAACGTTCTTCCATACTCTTCTTACGATGAATTGATAGATATAGCGGGGCAAACACGGAGTATGACAGGGGTCGGCTTTTTTGCCAAACGGCTTTGTATTTATGAAACAGGAACGTTCTAAGTGTTTGAGATTGTGTTTGGATATTAATTAACAGCCTGCATGACAGGATGAATCCGGGAAGGGTATTGAAAAGAGGGCAATGGTATCGTACCTTATTGCGTCCACATTTCGTTCCATCTCTTACCATTCCCAGTCCAATACCGTCACCACCTTTCAGTTGTACAGCACTGTGTGAAGTAAAACCGCATTTGACTACGTGTTTTGGCATTACTTGAAAATATGATCCAAGAGAGATAAAACGGTTTTTTTTGTCAATCGTTAGTTTTAATGGTTTCGTTTCCAAAGACAGGTAAGGGAATTGAACAGAAGGCATCTAATGGAAGTTTAAATATGGATTTACTCGAAAAAAGAAATTCCTAAAAGTCAAATTGCAAAGTCAAAGTCAAATACCACGAGTCTCGCGTTTTGAAACTCTTCCTTATTATCTAGCTTACGATAGGCACTTTATATGTTGACCCCTTTTTCTCAGAGAAACAAAAAGAAAGTAATACTAACTTGCATTTTTTCCCGGAAGGCAAAATTATTTTTTTGTCTCTGGCCCGTCCATAGTCAACAACAGGCTTTTTTCTGCTTTCGTCCGCTTCACATTGTAGCTGGCCGCATAAAACATCGCTTAGAGAAAATATATTGATTAGTTGCTGCTGAGCTAAGTACTTAAAACACCTCCTTACACAGAACGTAAGAAACTCTATTTACCAGTTAAAAGTTTAAATGAAATCCTTCATAGGTCGAGCTTGAAGACTCTTGTTAATGGTTAAATCAGACATTTTCTTATCACTTTTCTTTTTTGCTCATGAAACGAAATCGCTTTTTTAGTAAAACCTTAAGATGCTTCAATATGTAAAACAAAGAGTTATGTCATCTTCTTTTGGCTGTGTAAAGAGCGCTCTTTTTGTAGTTTGTAAAGTACACTTGATAAGCTGACTAAAAAGAATGTCATGTACCTTGCAGCACATCTCTTTTTGGTGTTTGGATCACATGTACCATATCCTCTAGCCTCGGTGTTCAGCTTTTCATAGCATCCTTGGTCAGCGTTTTTGGCGGCTGCAATAGATCGAGTTAGTATTAAATGAGTAAGGAGGGTATTTTTTTGTAGAAACAGTGGTACTGCGTCGTTAAGGTTAAAACAAGGTAATTTGTTTTTATCGATAAGATAAAGATAAAGATAACTTTATTTATACACGGTATTTCCATCAGTTGTTAATTATCTATAAAGGTATATCTATCTTCCTAACTATAATAAAATCTAATAATAACAATTCAAATAAAAGAAACAAATAAAAAATCTGCTTTTCATGGAGGCCGTGTCTAAAATTTATTTAAAATTAAGATATTACTTTAAAACTGTGGCGACTTAATTTAGATTTGAAATCGGTCAATGAAGACGCTTGTCTTAGGTCTAACGGGAAGTCGTTCCACAAGTGAGCTCCGCTGTACAAAAAACTTCTCTTAAGATAATCAGTTCGAGGTTGTGGAAGAACTAATTTGTTTTCCGTGTTCCTTAAACGATAAGCACTTATATTGTCACGATATACAAATCTTGATCTTAGATAATCTGGTGTCATACCATGTAAAGTTTTATACATTAAGATAGATTTTTGTTCCAATCTTTGATAGTAGAGTCTTCGCCACCCTAGTGCCCGGAACAAATCATCTAAATTACTATCATAGCTCGCAGACATTAGGATGCGAGCTGCCCGATTTTGAAGCCTTTGCAGTTTTTCAGAAAGGCCCTTGTTACAGTTTCCCCACACTACATTACAATAATCAAAATGTGGTTGAACAAGGCTATTATAAACTTTAATTAGAACATTAAATGGAGTGAGGTGCCGAATTCGTTTAATTGCACCAATGGCACAAGCTATCTTCTTAGAGATGTTTTCAATATGACACTCCCAGTTGATATTTTGATCGACATAAACTCCAAGGGACTTAGCGGAGGTTACTTGTTCTATTGCGATTTCGTTTATAGTAAGAGAAGGACTTTCCGTAAATTGTGATAACTTCTGCCTTGATGCAATAAGCATAAACTCCGTTTTTGTCATATTTAGGGTAAGCTTGTTAGCACTCAGCCATTCGTACACATTACTCAAGTCGTAATTAAGGCAATAATTTATATGATCAAAGTCAGTACTGGCAAGCGTCAGGCTGGTATCATCTGCGTACATTCTGGGTTCCGAATATGTCAGACAATGTGGTAAGTCATTAATATATATTAAAAACAGAAGGGGTCCCAAAATTGTTCCCTGGGGAACACCACATCTTAGATATTTCGGAGTTGACTTACAAGAATTTACATGGCAAATCTGTGTTCGATTATCTAAATAAGAAGCAAACCATTGATGACTGGTCCAACAAATCCCATAGTATTGCAATTTCGTAGCAAAATATCGTGATCTACTATATAAAATGCCTTTTTGAGGTCTAAAAACACTACGGCATTAACAAGACCACGGTCTATATCCATTGCCCAACTATCTGTAGCTTCGATAAGTGCTGTGAGCGTGGAATGCAAAGACCGGAAACCAGATTGATGGCATGAGAGAAAGTTGTTGTTAGTTAAATAACGATAAAGCTGATCGTAAATTATCCGTTCAAAGACTTTGACCACAACTGGAATTATTGATATTGGTCGATAATTAGTCGGATCAGAGCGCTTCCCAGTATTTTTATACAATGGAGTGACTCTGGCAGATTTCCACTCATCGGGAAAGATGTCAGTCATTATGGATTGATTGAATAGATGAGTAAGAGATTCCGCTAGAACATCAGGACATTCCCTTAGAAGTTTTGCTGAGATATTATCTAATCCAGTTGCCTTTGACTTGCAAAGCTTTGATAGTAGTGCAAAGACATGTGTTGGTGTTGTTTTTTCAAAAACAAAAGTTTTGTCAGTTTCAATAAGAAATTCTTCGAAGGATTTATCAACTTCTGACACGTCTCTACTAAGGCCCGGCCCAATTTCTGTGAAAAAGGAGTTTAGCATTTCTGCTATATCCGTTAGATCTCCAGAATTTACCCCATTATATTCCATCTCATTAATAACAGTTTTAGTGGACTTTCGTGAGGTCAGTTCATTGATTGTTTTCCATGTTTTCCTTTGATCTCCACAACAATTGTTGAAGGCATTTTCATAATAAGCTTTTTTCGCACTATTAATTTCCCCTTTAACTTGATTTTTAACTATTCGAAATTGGTCCCAAATAACTGGATCCTTTGTCTTAATAGCCTTTCTTTTGAGGCAGTCTCGGAAATTCATCCGCTTTTTCAGAATAGCGGTTATCCATGGGGATTTAGAATCTCGTGTCCGTTTGGTCTTCGTCGGTGCGTGCTTTTCACATACATTCAGGAATAATTCTTTCCACCTCCTCCACATATCATTAGGATCATATAATTGCTTTATTTCATCCCAAGGTTGAGCTAGAATGTCCGCGTAAAAATTTGCGCTATTAAAATGTTTAAACTGTCTATATGTTATCAAGTTAACTCCTTTGAGTTGATACTGTAAATTGGCTACCGGTAGAGAGTTTCTAAAGCTGACGTTTCGAGAGTTAGCCCCCCGTTGGAGCGCAGAAAGACGTCAATTAATAATAATTGAACCTAGAGGTTTTTAGAATCCAAATTTTCTTATTGGAGGGTTTTTGGTCTAGCTCCTGTCGGGTGTATATGTAGTGTCGTCTATTTTAGTATTTAACTAAAAAACGTCATGTTTGAAATAATTCATGTACCTCGAAGAAAGACACCTTTATTTAGGAAAGAAAAATTGAATTGGCAACTTAAAAGGATTGTAGATAACAGACAAATACTTAAATAATATATGATAAATTGAAGTAAAGGAAACTAGTGTTGGTATCAAAACGCTAGATAACATAAAAGAAGAAAAAAAAATGGGCACATTTACTTACTAGCTCCCCATAAGTCCTTACACTGAGTGTCAAGAGTTTCGCTGCACTTTCCAAGGTAACAGAAGGACTGAGATAGGAAAGAAAATGAGAGCGGTTTTTAGAAATAGAAAGACAACTGATTGTGAGTGATTACAACATCCTCAGCTTACATCGGATTTTTTTTCGTCACCACTCTGAGCATACGTTTTCCACCGCCGGCCATCAGAACTGTAGTGTAAGAAGAAGCCGGTCACCCAGTCGTACCAGTTTCCACGTCCTTGCATCAAGATTTTACTGACGGTTTTAACCTATAATTGTAAAAAGACGAAAAGGCAATATAGAAAAGACCATACATTAATGAAACAACTAAGTTAAAAATGTTTAAGGATGATCAGTTATGTTAAGGTAGCTCTGTGGGCGAGAGGTGGCGTCGTAGGACATGACTCGGAAATGATCGTGGGTCACATATAATGAATTCAATTTATAACCCGTTACAACTGAAGCAAAACTACATTTTTTTTTCGGAAGATTTACTGGATAGAAGACAGGTAACACTGTATGTAAAGCTTTCACCTTTGAGTTTTGACAATCGATTACACTTGGCTGCTTTTGAATAATGAATGACCTCTTAGTATAAATCGGGTAATGGGGAGTTCTTCAATCTTTAGTACAAATTGCAAATTACATTGCAATGCACAAGTCTATCTCAGACTCTCTAGTTAATGTTAAGAGGTAGTTCATTCCTTGAGCGACAAACTGGGATGAAAAACGAATTCTTAAAAGTTTCTTTTCTTCGAAAAGGGAAAAGAAGTATTCGTATATCAACATTTCTTAGACTTGTTGCAAGAACGAAACGATACAAAGTCTAAAATGAACTAAATTATATATATATATCCTCAAAACGTTTAAACAAGAACTAAATCATGAGTTTCCTTACTTAATTTACTAAGGCGCTTGTGCTGAGTAAGCTTCTTACTATCTTTCCTTATATTCTGTTTTTGTATTGTTCACAAACTATCCGACTATTCTTATCTACTATCAAAACGTACCTTTCCCAGATCAACTTGTAGATATTCGGTTTTGCTTTTGGCTTTGGCACACCAGTATTTTTTTCCTTTCAGCCTTGCATACTTGGCGAATTCCTCAGCTCTCACTGAGGAAGCAGTAATCTGGCGGTCTTTGATTTCACCGTTCTGCATTCCAAGAGGCTCTACACAATCTATAAGTATATGATTTATAACTATGTGCTATATTGAAAGGAAAGTATATACCAATTTTCTTAACTCGAATTTAAGTTCTTGAAAAAAATTGGATGCTATGGATAGGGTGTAAGGCGCCAAGAAGGACCAGTATCTCTCCCACACAGCAAAAGAGGGCCCACCCAGGGCTTGAAAGAGGACCTTTTCTATATACCGTTGTATTAAACACGAGGCCACCGCTTTTCTCGAACTTATACCTAAAAGGTGTGATAAGTGGCAAAAAAGTGTACCTTGTTTCCCGAAAAACAGTTGTAGCCTTTGCTCTTCGCATCCAGACCACAGTACCATCTGTCTCCCGTTTCCTGGCCAGGCTCCAGAGGTATGGATACATCTGCCAGATTTGGCGTGCTTTAAAGATCGCCCTATTAAGTAAACAAAAAAACAAAAGAACTAGCCATCAGAAAAAGAAAAAAACCAAATGAAGTTTAATTGAAATACCTTCAGGTTGATAAGCGGTGAAAATTTTCGTGGAAAGTGACTATTTCTAGGGATTTTATGAAATGTTGGAAACCTGAGTTCTGTAGCCGTACACGAGGCAACTGTTTCTAAAAATGTCTTAAAACTTTTTGTCTTAAACTGGGAAGCGAAATTAATGGGTTTTGGCTCAATGAGAATCACAATTTTAATTCCACTCTGGCAAACACCCAATACAATTTTCGTAAGGATTCCTCCAGCCTCCCCCTTCCAGAGTACGAAACCAACAGAACTGTGACCCCAAGAAACACGAACATTGATGGAAACCACGTTACCCTACGATCCAAATATATCTTTTCCAATTTATTAATAAGGTGAATATATGTACCTCTTTGATTGTTGAATGCATTATCAGTTCGAGAGCTGGACAATTAAGAGGTAATATAAATTTCTTTGGACTTACCTACGACTCGTAGAAATTTCGAGTCTGCAACTTTACAAGTCCTGCTGACAACAATCTTCGCACCATTATGCGTCCCGCCATTTTCGGGACAGACCAATTTCCCACTGCAAGCGTGGCGTAACAATCCGTCTTTGCCACGCGTGAATTGAAAATGTCTCTCTGAGCACCTGCTACCGGTTACAAATATGATGGGGTCGTTGTCACGTGGGGAACAACTCTTGCTTGATGGAGTCAGACAAAAGTCAAAGTTGTATGACTTTATCGGTGAAGGGGCAGTTGGCCTTACTGTCAAAACGAACATAAAGAAACATGTTAAAACAGAATGGTTATTTGACTTCGGGACCCATGTTTGCCCCATCTTCAGTCTTCCTACTTCAACTCACAAGACATTGCACTGTTGATCTTCATGGTTTACAGAACGCGTAATGGCACAATGACCACAAGTGTCTGGTATATGTACAACAGTGTTGAGTAGAATTGTAGCATACCATTACCTTCATCCGCAGAACATCCCATGAAGTCGGTCCTTAGACAAGGCCAGCCATGCCAGTATTGAGGATTGATACGAAGATATCGAGCGTTGACCATAGGGTTCAAGTCCCTTGCGACCACACCATAGAAGTTAGTGTTTCCATGTATAACCTTCAAATAATTTCAGAAAAAAATCAATGATTGACACAAGGACTTTCCTCAAAGAAATTAGAATGTAACTCGTAGGTGGCAAAATTTATCTTCACAACCCAAATTGCAGACAGGAGTACACAGACTCAGCGGTGCTCACCGGCTTATAGTCAAGCAAGTTAGATGTACACAGATTTAAAAGGAAAAAAACAAAGAGAAGTTAATGTAAATCTGTTTTTTCATGCTATTAATTACTTGGTTTTTTTCCAAGCCATTATCGTGGAAATAAGCGAACGAAAAGAAAAATTGCAGAGGAAACGAATCACATCGAAGATCGACGAGATTAACACAAAATGAAAGGTATATGACGAGCAGTAGGTAGTATTCTTCGTTTGAAATGAGTGCTGGTCACCTAGATATGCGCATTAGTGGTAAATTAATAATATTTAGAGGCAGAACTTAGTGGCACTTCTGTAAAAGTGAAAAACTTTTTGAACTATGTAACATGCTCTCTCTCTCTGATCATGAGAAACGTACGGTTTTCGCCTGGCTGCATGGATATCCATTAATGATGTAAGTATCCTCAGGACACTGAAAGAGTAAGAGTGATCAACTGTGAAGCTTCATAAACTTGGTAATTAAGCAACATTGGGGTTTGCTCTTGAAGTAATCTAAAGTAACAATTCGATATTAAAACCCAAGCTATGTTAGACATGAGTGATACACTAAGACACTGACCCCTACGCTAGTGTACAAGTATTGTGATTTAAAAATTCACACACACGGCTGGTGGTAATCTCGGCAGGTGAATTGATAAAGTTATGCACATAAATTTAGCAGCTAACATTCTGACCATTTCTGGCGCCGTGTGTTCGTTTTATTTTTTTTACATAACAAAGTGCAATAACGTATTTTTTTACAACCTCACACTTGATAGCTACTACTCGGTGATTTTTATGACACAATAATTTCTGAGTCAAATTCTCTATTTGCTTACGTCTCTTGAGGAACCAGTACAATATTCTGGAACGTCACAATCAGTTTGGACTCCACGACATAACGTTCCTCGTTTCTTAAACTAAACGAGAGTCAGAATACGCCGTTAGATCGCGTTAAGCACAAAGAACCATAAGTTTCAAGGATGAAACACTTTGATTTATCTGTTATAACTATTTTGGATCCTACACCACGCATTTATAGCGAGAAAATTGATCTTTTAGGCAACTTAAATAACGTTATTTCTTCCTATGGTGTAGTTTTTTATTTCCTTCCGCAAGTATACCCTAAAAATATAAAGTACGTTTGCTGTCTAACCGTGCAGGTGCGCCTGTGTTATCGTATTTTCATTCATAATCGAAAAAAGTAGATAATGTTTTGACTTGTGGATGATAATCAAGTAAAGAAAAGCCCTTGCACGTGAGCTGCAATTGAGGGAATACCAGGAAAAAAAAAGAATATAAAATCCAGACCAATATTCTACTTAAAAGGGCACTTTCCCACAGCAGCTGTTGTCAGTTCAATGTCTATAATCCCTCTTTAAATATCATCCAACGCTCAACGCTTCTCAGTTTCATGAGCCCGTAATGTTGAAGGGATTATTGATTATTTTGTTACCTGGCAGTTCTTGCAGCATGAGTGATGTAAGTCACTGCACTGTGATTCCTTTTTAAGGACACAGTTGTGAGGTACACAGCAAGGATCTTTGGCCTGGCACATCTGAGGAGATTAAAAACCGTTTTCATCATTCCTGATCGTGTCCGAAGAATGAACGTTGTCACGTCGTGAAAGTAGTTAGCTATTGTAAGTGTTAGACAATTTAACCCTTTAACTCCCAAGATCTCATTTGTAATTCTCCTTACTGTCTGCCATATACTTCTTGTGGTGTTAGAATTTGGTATTTGATTAACTAAAAATCCCCTAGATAATATTTTTCCTTATTCTCATCACTTGTCTGCTTGATATTGTAAGGATAAATTCTTCTTGGTCGCCCATGGGAGTTACAAGGTCAACATGTCCTTACGATGACATTAGCCTTTGCAAAGAAATCACAATAAATCCCATGCTAAAGCAATTTGAATAAACACAAAGCAATTTATCGCAAATGCTTTCAGAACAAAATTTTTAAACCCGAACTCTCTAAAAAGGAATATTTCTCAGATCATTACCATTTTTACTAAAGAATTCATCACTTTTATGAAATTTCGTTGTGAAGTATACAACTGGGGTATCGGTTGCTAAGGTGATGAGATATAGCGTCTTAATATGAAACCATTATCTATCAACATTTAGAAAAAACTCTCCTAACCAACCTCTTGTTTTAAGTGTTGCTCGATTGTGAACCACGGAGTTTTACGCGAGTTAGTTTTTTTTTCTCTCTGAGAGTGGTTATTTCCCAACAACGAAAGTACCGGCTCGCTAAAAATTGATGCAACTCTCATTTTAACCCTTTCATTCACACGATCCAAAAAGCAATTCTCTGTAGTGACAGACATACATTTTCATGATATTATCCCAGAGAATTTGATACTAAATCAAACAATTTCCCCTGGTTGATGTTTTTGTCTCCTCATCACCTTTCCACTTGAAAATCTATTAAAATATTAATGAGAAATCCCTTTATGGTGGACTATATTATTTGCCATTCATGCAACTTTACAAACCTCAGGGGTACCGCAGTCGCACTCCTCTCCTTTCTCGCGTATGCCATTTCCACAATAACTGTTGTAGGCCTAAAGGAAAATCAAACGAACCAACAGCCTCAAGATGTTCTTCTAGCTACTGAAGTGCATATTTTTAACCAAAATCGAAACCGAATCAATGATCAAAAATGAGAATTTCAAATAACATATTTTCTGACATACTATTTGCCATACCCATGTTTGTGACAATTGCATCAAAATTTTCTACATTTAAGCCCTTAAGTATCATCCTAAGGCTAACCAAATTTTGATTGGAAAATGAGTTCGTTGTATGAAAGGACTCCGTTACATAGGGGATACCTTTATTTTGTCGAAATTTTTAGAGCTGTTCCTGAATAAAGTTTGCATCACTATTCCAGGAAGTTACCTGGTTTACTTTGTTAGGTTGCAGAGCCGTTTTAAAGAGTTCTTCAAGGTTACCCTTTTAATGAAGGAATGAAGGAACTCCTTAAAAGGCCGATAATCTTAGTATAAATTATCATCCAAAATATCCCCCCTCCCCTTTCTCTGGTTTCTTATGGTTACCTTGTAAGTTGGTACGTTGTACAAGCATGCGTCATTGACCTTTTGAAGCGATTTAAGGCTGCAATCCGAAAATCCTGGAAGTCGAGACCTGAAATCAATATTGGGGAAATTTCAATAAATGATTGTAAATGTAGCAGATATGTACACATCACCTACTCAAGAAAAACATACAACTACGATGGATTTCGTCTTGCACCTAAATTGCTCCTCTGCTTTCGTCCAATTTTTTTTGTAAGATTTTATTTGTATTCAATAGTATTTTACTGACTGAGTTTCTTTATGATGTTTTGTCGAATAACTCAACATTAGCACTCCGTGGAAGAAAGAAAGAGTGGTTTACTTTCATTATCAGTGAATACTATGACAATACAACAAATCGCAATAAAAATTGACGGTATTATTAAGGTAAAACTGAGTTATAATAATAACACACTCTTTATATGGAGCGCTATTTCTATCGCCATCCAATATTACTTTATAATGACTGGAGTAGACATAAAGTGCTTGAAAATCCCAACTGGCAGGGGGCAGACCAGTTGGTTATTTACACAGCGCAGCTGAGGAGTTGAACTCGTGGCGACCGAGAACAAATCCAGCAAATGGTGGGTAGAGGACTTGAACCTAGGACCACCATATTTCAAGTCCAGCACCCTAACCAATCGGTCACACAGAGTAATTTAAGTGTATCTCATTGCCAGATATTTCAGAGAATGACCTACCTGGTACCTCCCATGAAACAGCCTCGTGAAGTTAAACACTTGCAGGTCCCTGCATTTAGACGAAAGGTTGTGTAAATTAGAAAAAAATAACAATAATAACTGGTAAGATGAACAATTTAACAAAATTAGTAGCTAAGAACTGTAAAATAGTTTTAAAAAAATCGAAAAAATCGAGTCAAAATTTCTTTCTGGATATTGCGAGAATCTGTATAAATACTTTTAAAAGGGTTTGATTAGATTTGTGTAAAACACAAACAAATTTAGGTTAAAATCTAAAAGTTATATTTCTGCCTCCTCATCTGACACTAGACCCTGTAGGTATCGTGTGCATTTTCATGTTGTCATAACTATTTTCATACGCAACTCTAAGCTAAGATCATTCTACAACTATTTGCGATTAGAAAAAGCTCTCTTTTGTCAAGATAATCGAGAAAAAATGAATTTGATTTCAAAAGTTTCACAATTCTTACCAGTATCGTGATTGAACGCAAAGTTGTGACCCAACTCATGAGCAACAGTTACATAAGGACCAACACTACTGCTATAAGACCACTACGAAAAAGATATTTATCATTAACCATATGTCGACCTTTAAATTCTAGGATAGGTAAGAAATCTCTTTATACTACGTTTGAGCATGCCCCTACCAGCGTAATTTTAGCTTAGAAAAAGCCAGAGCCCACGCCACTTTAGGTGGTATTTCGTTTGAGTGCTGTAAATCCAAACATATCGTAATTACGACAGCCAATCAGAAAAAGGGAAAGATCACAGGGGACCAATGGGAAAGCAAAGTCAAAAAAGCAATTTGTCTGAAGCGCGGGAAAACGGCAGGGATCAAATCATGACTAGTACTTCTTTTGCCCCTGTTTGATCGAGATTGGCGTTGAGATTGGCGAAAGTATTCTAAAGGATCTCAGGACATAGTGAGGCAAAAACAATGCAATTCATATTTCTTCGCATAACTTACGGCGTTGATAGAGTTTGAATTTCCGCCACACATCGAATTGACCCATGCTAGACCAGCAATATTCGGGGGCCAACCTTTGTGACTGAAAAAAAAAATAAAAAAAAATAAGCGAGATAAACCTGGAAAACTTATTTTCCTCGACGACTGAGGTATAAAGCAAAGTTCACGAGACCGGCCAAAAAGCGAACTTTTGCTGTCTACTGTTTACCATTTTCCGTGATAAATATTTCTTGTTCAATACCCATGGACATTTTGCGCGTTGCTCGGCTTTTTTTCTGAGCCCCGTAGGGTAGTATAGTATATGCGTAGTATTACATTGATCTCCGATAAGTTTCAAAACAAATTAATGATCTACCACACAGCTGCAAGACACGGAAGTTTTCGTTCTTCTTGGCAATCAAGCGACATTGGATGATAGAGGGTTAACTGAGAAGAATATTTTTTTGAGGTGAAGGACACTATGTTCTAGATCATGTGTTGTAACTCAAACCACCCCAAATCGATCTTTTGAGATTCCTGGTGGTTTTCAAAGGATTTTACTCTTTTAAAAGGTTTCTCCTCTAATCGGAAGACGTTTTGAGTTGGGAAATGTGAAAAAAAACTTTCGTTAGGATGAAAATTTTACCTTAGTAAAAGAGCGTTGTCATGAGGGAACCTTTTCACCAAATGTTTATTTCGATAGGCCCTGAAATTGCGTAATTCACTCCCTGCATTTCGCACACGCCCGAAAGGATCTCTGTTTGTCCAGATTTCCAAGTACTTCAGAACTATCCTGATGTTGATTCGCTGATAGATCTTTACAAGAGACAAAAAATCAAAATATATTTAGTTGGTAAATAATTAATTCATCCTTTATTAACTTTTGATATGTTCAGCACCATTAGGGAAATCTAAGCAATAAGAAGAATTGCGTAATGACTGTGTACATATCGACAACAAAATCAGGTCAGATCAAACAATAGTGGAAATTATTCTTTCTTGCTTGAAAAATGCATTTATAATGTAGGCACAGTTTCTTTTTTGGTCATCTCTGGGATTGAAAGGGTTAATCTGTACAAAGACAGGGTGGATCTGGGGGAGGGGTTCAGGAGGTACCCCCCCCCCACCCCCCGAGATATAACGGATAAGAAAACTAGCACGAAATATAAATACGACTATGGTGCGACTTCATCCTGGACCTTGATCACCCGCAAGCGAGGACAGTTTAACTTCACAAATTTTACAATCTATCTTAAATGGTTGAAGAAGTTGAAATGGTCAAACTACTTTAAATGAAGTTACACTGCACAAATTGCACAGTCCATCTCAACTGCTTGAATGAGTTAAAAATCATGATCCCATCCTGGAAAATTTTGAAATTCTGACACAGGGCATTCAAAGTCACCATTACTTTCTGATGCACCATGTCTTTTAAGAGTGACCAAGGCAAAACTTCTCCTTACACCATCAATACAATATCAATCAAACATCAAGCAGACAAGTGATGAGAATAAAGAGAAATATCAATCATAGCATTATACGTTGATTCATTACCAAAGTCTCCGAACTAACATCATAAGAATTGCATATCACACAGTAAGGAGAATTACTAAAGCGATCTTGGGAAAGAGAAATCAAACAGCTGTCTTAATTCACATCACTGAAAGCCTTGTGATTTGTTCTAAGTTCCGCTTCGTTTTCAACACCTTGAAAGAAATTGAAACTTTGTATTCAATGCCAACGGTATACTTTGTGTACATCATGTTCGTGTCTTCGTAGACATTTCCAGCCAAAATCGGATGTTTTCCTTCGAAATAAGTATTTTCTGTAAAGGTCAAGCACCTCTAAACAAAACTGCCCAATGACTTACTTATTTTTCGTTGATTTTAACCGACTAAGTTAAGCACTTTTTTCTTTTCCTTCTGATAAAAGATGATTAAAGAAATGGTTTAAAAGAAGAAAAGCTAGAGTAAAGCTCCAAAGATAACTTACCGCATCAACAGTGTTCACTAATGTTATGACTCGATCTTTGATGACATTTTTATCCCTGTTATATTTCTGGTACTGTTGAAAGCAGATAACATGATCATTGTGGGGAAATTCAAGTTTTAGGTCAATTATCAGAACATTTTTGAGTTCGCGAACTCTAATAACCCTTGAAAAAAAAAACAAACAAACAAACAAAATAACGTCAACCTGGTCATCGAAAGATTTTGAGGTGTAACTGAAGAACAAAATTTCCTCCTTTGCCTTATTTCCCAGATTTAGGAACAGAAGAAAATAACGCGCCTTTAAGGAGAGACAGAAACCCAGTAGGGTAAGCAGGGATTATGCGGTTGATCCAAGTTTTAATCTACAAATTTAATTGTCTAAGATTAGACTGTATTGATTGGGTGAGTGAGGGATTTTGGCTTCATGACTAAATCTCGGTAAAATTGAAGGTAAAGGTGAGAGTAAGAGCAGTTGATCTGATAATCAGCCTAAGAAGCAAAGCATTGATCTGTTGTGATAAACAGTACTTACCATTTCATTGTCAACACAAATGAAAATTTCGGTGTATCGCGTCTCATCAGTCGTCAGATATTTCTTGTAGAACTCATCAATATGACCTGATATCTTACGTCTCTCCTGGATCTAAACCAAGATAATCAAACGCGGTTGTTTAGAGTAGTGATGAAAATTTGTTTTTACTTTTTGCTTTACTTAAAGAAAAGTTTATTAGTTTATCAATTTCAGTTCTAAAGATATATAATTATAGTTATTTACTATAAAAAATTTTCGGTATTTTTTCTTATTTTTAGCTAATCAAAGTAGGGTTGGTCATTGAGGTCAGAAAGTGTAAGATTGAGAAAGTATTACTTAATTATACGCTAATCTACGTGTTTTTTTTCTCTTTCGTATTTTTTTTTTCTATATCGCCTCACGTCTTTTGCCATTTCGCAGTTCATAATACCTTGATCATAACGATCTACCAAACTTCCATTTCTGATCCCGAACTGAAAATTTAACTCTTCAACACTTGTCATTGATTTTGACAACCCTGGTATATTCTCAATTTCATGACTAGAAGCTTACTTTATTTTCTCACCTAAGATGTCATACAAACTTGCGTTTTACCTATTTCGCCATTTAATAATTTGTTTGTTTATTTATTTATATATCTCGTTGTCTAAGTAGTGACCACCTACCCTCGCAATTGGCCCAAAAGTTTCGTTTAAGGAATGGTAGTCTGCTTGAGTGTCGTTGTTTCCTGAAGAAAGAAAAAAATGGTGAGTATCAAACGTACTAACCGCTATAAACATGACATCACAAATAAGTACAGCATCTATTGGGAATTTTTCTGAGGCAGTAAACTTCTTCAAATAGCAAACAACAACATATGAAACCTTTTTAAAGGAGTTTTGAAGCAAAAAAAGGCGCACCGATTGAATGTTATGTTTTCGCAATGAAATGATTTACCACACTTATGGAAGATATCTTGGGACTCGTCTTCTTCGGCTCTACTGACTCTGTGAATTCCATTTCCCTGAAATTTGATATATTAACGATTTTAAAGAAAACGAGGTAAAAAGGAAGCACATTTTGAGCGACACGATTCACTTGAATAAAAACTTAAGTTACTACAGAGATCTAGCGTGAAAATAGCAATCAGCATTGGCCAAAAACAATACAAACAATCAGAATTTTCATAATGTTGTGTATAGGAAGGTGAAGTGATGAAAATTCTTGTACACTTTATCTACATTCTACTAATGTTACGATTTGTATTTTAGTTAAACTTGCCTCGTGTCCAGTCTCAGGTATAATATAAAACGTTTCATGGCCATCGCCTATCATGCCTCTGAAAAAACAACATTGATATTTCTCATTTCCATATCAAGAAATTTTCAATTACTACGGAAGCAATTTACCATTTCATTGGGTTTTCCTTTCAACGATGTGTTATTGAAAGTGAGTTATTCACTCACGATTTTCGACGCCTCAAACAGTGTACTTATTTCTACTTTGCGTTCTCGTTGGCTTAAAGTGATGTTGACATTTATCAGCTGTTTTAGTTGCTTTGACGATGGTTTTAAAACACGCGACTGAAAAGCTCCCTGGTGTATGCATTAGCAACCGACACAACATAACATTGTCAATTCCTTGTTTCTTTACTCTCAGGCTGCTTGCAGTAAATGAAACAAATCAAGATAAGAAGTCATGCCTTTTCTCCACGCTTCTTATAAAGTATAAACTCCATGGACTAGTATCCTGTTTGCTATTACGAGCTTTTTGCCTTCACATTTGTAAAACGTACATAGCATCTAACTTATCTAGTGAAGATGTCATGCTTGAAATGCGTTATACAGTAAACCAGCAATAAAACCTCACCTCAACCCATTACAGCTATTCAGAACAACGCGGGAATCTTTCATTCCACGTATGATGCCTTGATAGTGACAATGATCGTTATCATCCTGAGAGAGAAATGCATACGATGAACATAATGTTGGATGGCCTTCACTCCTCTCCCACCCCACCCTCTTATCTGAAATTCGTATTTTTTTCAAGCATGCTAATGTCTTTTATAGAAAGCTTAATACTCACCTTTAAATTGACGGATCACCACCAAAAGTTTAACACATTTGCTATTGTAGATAGAGTTTGATGTTATCGATATTTAATCAACTGGCAGAGAGAGAGATTGCATTGGCATTTATACCATAAATTGCTGTTAGCTACCTTCTGAATCAGAGCGATGGTAAGCATCGATATTTTCAGATGTTCAACCAGCAAAAGAGACAGAGATGCAGAACCCAACTACTTGGTGTTATTATGAGGAATGTATTTTGTATTTTTATTGGTAGAAAAAGCTTTCGTCCAAAAAAGCCTCTGACGCGATTTGCACATGGAAGCAAACGTTTACGACTGTATGATCGACCTTGTGTTTTCTAATATGTTCTATAACTTATATCTACCTCTTGTATGACCTCTGATCCATCATTTTCGAACGTACGAACAGCGAATGATGAAGGAATTAGTTCTCTAAAGGAGAAGAAAAACAATGAGATATATTGATATATTAATATTCATGAATCAGATCCACACAGAAGAACATAATGGACTGTAAGTGAATGAAAAGAGAAAACAAAGAAATAAATAGATATAATATTATGTAAAATGATGAAATGAGCGAGCCAAACGATGACATAAGAAATGAAATGAAGGACAAAAGAAAATAACAACTAGCGAACAAATACACGAATAAGCAAGTAAATTTCAACGATCTTGTTACCATAGATCTTGTTAATAGCATGAAAATAGAATAACAAAATCAATAACTATTCGTCTCCTTCTTACTTATTTATTTCAAGAGTCTGATTCAGTGAAAAAATGTGACATAGGTTGGTCAGCAAACATACTTGTTTCGTTTAACATCTAGGGTCCAGTCCTTGTCAAAAGCAGTCAATCGATAAGAGGCATCATCCACGTGGCCTCCCTACAACAACGTAACACGAAATTATTATTCATCAAAATGTCTCTATAAAGATCAGTTGTCCAATGTTATTGTTATGTCAATGCATAATATTGTTTGTTAAATAGTGCGCTGAATGGATCACTTGCATCACAGTCAAAAGTGCATCCAAAGTACAAGTAAAGAACCAAAAAAGATAACGTGAAATTGAACGAAAACAACCTTTTCCGAAGTTGAGAGGTCTTGTTTCTCCCGTCTACCGTCTACTCGTTCAGGGCGGGTGAGTTGATGGCTGATATCCTTTGCCTCACCTGAAAATGTTAGCAATATCAGTTGCGAGCTGAGATTTAAAAGTACTTAAAGCCAAGAGAAAATTCAAATATTACATTTACATCTTAAAAACACGGTAAATAGGGCGTATTTAGATCAAATGTCATAACGCCAAACCCAAAAAGTTGCAGCCACGAATCACAAGAAAGGAACTACCTCAGGGGATCAAGAGAGAACTCAAAGTGAAGATACGCAAACTAACTGAAGCAGGAAAACGAGAGTGACCAAATGGCGACTGCTTTAAGTATGAAATAAATCTTGGTAAATCACAAAGCAAAAGAAGCAAAACCAATGTCGTCCAGAATTACTTTAAACTTACTCTAAACTGAGAAAAGAAGCCTACCTTCTTGAATCGAGCTTGCGTTATGCAATAACAGCAACAACGCCCAAACGATCAGTGATCTAGCCACTGTCTGTTTACCCATAGCCTTCCCTCGTCTTTCTATGGAAAAATTAAAAAGAATTTTTTCGAAAAAAGATTTTCCAAGAGGGTTATATGGATGCCTAAAATTAGCGCAATGCTTTCATATCGAATGAGGAAAACTTCAAACAGGTTGCATAACAGGAGGAATGGCGACAATCAAAGACAAACTTCTTACGTACCTCTTTCACGGCGGCGAAAATCTCGAAAAACCAAGGAAATCGTGGTTTACTCCACAGTGAGTTTTTTCTTCGGTCTTTATTTCCCTTTTGACAAAGAGAAAATCAAAATTAGTCATTTAAACACCCAGGATTAACTAACAGATGGTTTTTCAATCACTGAATTAAATGTATGACGTGTCAGGGATGGGGATGGTTTAGGCTTTTCCTGCAATTCCAAAATTCCCCCTTTTTCCTGCAGGTTCAGCTCACCAAAATTAAACTAGTACTAATCTTTAAGGCTGAAGTTCAGAAAAGAGAAATAAGGAAAGGTACTGCATTAGTCGTGCAGTATATACGTACCTCGAAATTCCCTCGGTTCGACTATCAAACTAAAGCTGTGAACCTCTCGAGATTAGCGCAAGGGAGAAGTGAGCTTCACCAATAAACCTACAACCAGAAAACCCCCTTTTCGGATCACGTGACTATGTGGGTTGCCCAGACTTCTTACAGACCGAGTGACGCATTCCACAGCCTAGCGAGGGGTCAAATTAATATATTCAATCAGCTGTCTATGGAACTTGAAAAATCATTGTCATGATATTTTGTAGTAGATCACGGAGAAAGGATTGTTCATATCATTAAAAGAGAGGGGTTAGTCTATCAATGCTTACAGAGAGCGTGTAGCCGCCGTAACCAGAAACATTCAAGTTCTCAAGTTATGGTAATTCTATTGTTTCGATTCGGAACAAAAGTAATATCTTATCGTCAATTTAATTAATTTGTGTTTAGATCAATAGGCCAATTTGAATGCTTAATGAAGGTGCTTTATGCCTTGAAAGAGAAAAATGGAAAGTGAAAACTGAACCTTACTCAATAATATAGGCATATGTGGAGGATTTTCAGCGATGAGCAGTTTTAAACACGTTAAAACTGCTTACTTTTGCCATTGTTTTGGTTTAGAAAAACCGGTAATTACAAACCGATTTGACACGGTCTAAGGACTTTTCTTGTCAACAATGCTATTCTAGAAGCAATCTTTTTAACTCACCGACTCCCACACAAATGCGGTTGTTACAAACTTAGAACTAGAACAACGTCATTTTAAACTTAATTCATTTCATATTTGGACCAAAATAGATCAGTTTGATATCCAATGGATTTTAAATGATTTGAATAGGGATAAAGGAAAAAAAATAACATAAGAACGTTGTTCTACCATCTGTGATTTGAAAATCGCTGGAGCATCGACCCAACAACGCTAAAAAAAGCTTATTTCTGTCATTCCTTGGGTTTGAAAGTATCCATCATGAGTGTAATTAAGAAAGGAGTTAAAAATTTTCGGAAGTGGAGACGAACGGATGTGATACGGTTGGTAGAGTGCGTTTATTGAAACTGACACCCCCGGTCTCCCTTTGCGGGAGGAGGGTATTCTCGAAGCCTTTCTTTTTGACTCCCACTCATCCATATGTCGCATCAAACGTACAAAAATTTACGTCATTTTAGACTGAACTACTTCTATTTTCGATAACCGCAAAAAGAGATCAATTGGATGACAAATAAAGTGACTCTGAACTCAGTGCGGGGAAAGAAGGAACAAAAAGTCCAATTAAATTAGAAAGTTGAATCAATTGGTGTTTTACGCGCACCTACGTGGATGACGTTACACCCTCACCCGTTGACGTATGAGTCAAGACACGGTTTGTGTAAGAAAAAGTTGTTTAGCTCACTTCGAGTTAGTTAGAACTTATACAACGCGCGAGAAGACATAGATAAGAGGCATCGAAGTTCTTTTTGTTGCTCAAGTAAGAAGCGAACTTGAGCTACATGAAAGCAAGAGTCAACTTCTTACACGTGGTCCTCGCGCGCGTGTTCGTACAAGCTCCCAAGGATAATGGATTTCATAGGAAAAGAGAAAGCTGCACTCAATTTTCAAAACTCTTGAGAAGGAATTCGCAACTGAACAAAAACCGTCAAACCTCTCGACAATCTAAGGAAGAAAAATTGGATTTTCAGGTTTACAGGAGGAAAACAAGAGTTAAAGACAAAGAACTCCCATAGCAGATACGAGTAAATGCGTCTTCAATTGATCGCACTTGAAATAATGGTCCATTTGGAACCTTATGTAAGTCGCACATTTTTTTCCTCGTACATTTAGTACTTGAATTTCTGAAAATTGTTCCACTTTTATGCAATTATCTGTGTGTTAATTGACATTCACTATGGAGAAATATCTCTTTTACGCCACGGCACGAAGACTCTTCGCCCGCGAGAAAAGTCGAATCCTTGAACAAAGCGATTCTCTTTCAACTTAAGTTAAAGCCTTTAGAATACTTACAACTTTGTTAGAATTAAGGCAAAAAATTGTTACGCGAAGCTCAAGAAAGCCTTAATAAAGTATTTTTACGAACGTGTGAACAGCTAACATGATTTGTTTACCATGCCAGCACTGTTACCTCAAACGAAACATTCTCTACAGCTAAAAGATGCTCTAATAAGTTGTCTTAACTGCAAGTCACTCTCTCCATGTAAGATTAATGTCACGAGTTTCGACTCAATCACTCTGAGAGAAAGTAGTATTTGTATTTTATTCTCCCCACTCAGTAATTTAAGCGACCCTTTCTGGTGTTATAAACGGATCAAAATTTTGAGGATGAGGGTGAAATAATGATTCGCTCCCATCACAGACACATAATCGATGTTTCATAACTGCTACATTTCAGGAAATGTTTTCAGCAGATATGGATAAGAGTCCTGTTATCTCAAGATAAAAGCAGTTGTAATAGTTATAGACACAAGTGTTAGAGATTTTCAACGCAAAATAGCAGTTATAAGTTCTTAAGTGTCTGTTCGTTTACAGGTCTATGCTCAGAAACATAACCTCAAGCGCGCGATGACAAAATATTTAAGATGTCTACGTCCTCAATAATTAACGGAGAGATGGGGGGGGATATTCCTCTCCCGTCCTTTGCGTCCCCCAACTCGCCTCTCCCTTATTTTACCAGCTTCCTGCTCTCCGATGCAAGACACGACAGAATGAATGTCATGGAATAGAGAGCCCAACGTTTATTAGCTTCCTACGAAAACTGAGTAAAAGCGAGAAAATTATTCCAGGTGTTGTTTTAGTGAAGTTCTCAGCAGAACAACGAAACAAATGGAGAAAGTCTCCACCATTCACTACAATTTTCCCCTATCAATATAACCGAGACTCATGCAGAGAGTTTGAAGAGAGACAAAAAAATCACGGATCAGCTTCAAAAATTCTTTGCAATTTCTTCTCCAAAGGTTTTTCCTATCTTGATGATATCGACTTCGAAGGCCAAGCTTTTCAGGGCTACCTTGATTTACAATGCATCTTTGACCACGTCGTCTCATTATCCACTTGAATACCGCACATTCCTTACAATACTAACATTGTTTTCAAACCTTTTATTACTTGCTATCATGATCAATCATGATGGTCACCCACGAGGAATCAAGCCGTGTACCTTCGGTGTTGCACTCCAATTATCAACAATGCCTAAACGACATACGATGCCAAACTTACTTAAACTACCAACAACTTACTGTTTCTTCAATTATTTCCCTCTTTCTTTTTTTCAGTTTAAAAATGCCCGTCATAATGCTTAAAATTCTTGCATAACTAACTTAGAATACCAAAACTACAAGAAGCAAATACTTTAGCTCCGCTTTTTGCTCAGGGAGAGGGGGAGGAGTTTGTCACATCTTCTTGGTGACTGCCATCTCGGTGAGCAAGCTGGTTTCCCGCAAGTAATCTCCTCTGGAGTTACCTTTGAAAAGGTTCTCCACCCTTCTGCTGTCTCAAGCTTACAAGTTTCGATCACTAAATCCTTGAAATTACGTGTGCCAAAGAAACAGGAAGTATAAACAATGGAGAATATGATTTCTAAAGAATGAAAATTCTCAAGTTCATTAACTTTGGACACTGAACGATTAAATAAACTTCACGCACAGACGTGTTCAGCAATGACCTCACAAAGGAATTTTTAATTCCCGGGGAGAGGTCATGCAATGTTGATTAAAAGTCTCTGCGAAATTATGAGTGACTGTTAAATGATACATACTGGTAT